ACTTACAAAATAACTCCACCGCTTGAACTGTCAGCTCTGCATGATGCCGAGATCTCGTATTACTGCAGCTCTTCCTCCAGCAGCAACCCTAGCTGTTTCCAAAGCTCTGGATGAAGTGTACCAGCCTCTGGTGAAATACTTACTAGGCAGGGCGACTCGTCTTACTACCCGGCCATTGATTGTCGGCATATCTGGTGGACAAGGGAGTGGCAAGACAACCACCACCAAAGTAGATCGTGTGTGCATTCATGATTTCCAGGAGCACCAGCCTACAGGTCCTTCAGAGCTTGATCACTACTAACACCTCACGACGCTGTATTGGAATATCGTTGGACGATTTCTACTTGTCCGCAGAGGGTCGAGCTAGGAAGGCGAATGATACCGGTATAGAGGCTTTGAGCATCCGAGGGCCTCCAGGGACCCATCAGACGCAACGACTGCTGAAGGTGTGCTCCCCTTAGCCAACCGCTAAGTTGGAGACTCCAATTATCACTCAGGTATTGGCTCGTCTCCATGACCCCAGCTCTTGCAATCACGAGCTTGTCCTTCCTCGTTTCGACAAGGCTTTGGATACCACAGTAGAAGACGAGACGTTCCCTGCTCTCCGACCTGGTGATATATTCCTTCTGGAAGGCTGGTGATGCAGAGGATGGTTGCCTCCCGGGCTTGATGTATTCCTACCAGGTGTGTTGCCGCCCCTCCGCCTCCTACCGATGAGTCCACGGCTGCTCTCAACAGCCTCGATGCGGATCTGAGGTTCCGTGAGTTCGTCGATGAGGAACTTCGAGGAGATTATTCTGAGATTTGGTCACAACTCGATGTCCATATTCATCTACAGGTGAGGAGCGATTTACAACGCATGCGCATATCTGGTTTCTGACTTTTATCATCAGCCACCCTCGTTGTTGTCAGGTTCCGAGTTGGACTTGCGTTTTGCGATGGCGACAAGACCAGGAGGATGAGCTCCGTCGTAAAGTAGGAGGTGATGGTATCGATGTGAAGGAGTTTTGCAGAGGATACGAACGCATTACCAGGAGAATGCTGAAATCATGTCCAGACGAAGCCGATGCCGTAGGTTGCTCCCTATGCAACTATATGTTCAACGTCCCATACCTGGGCTCAGGTAATATTCCTAGGAGAAGACCATTCCATTGCTGGTTGTAAGATACGCAACTGAGACATCCTAAATTTGTTTCAAAAATTCATCGGTGTGTCAAAGGGGAATTGTTGAGTCGTAGTGCATACCATAAAAGCGGGGTGCTGAGGGCAATGCGAATTCTGTCAAGGTTAATCTGGTTTATACGCTCTTTTTGTATGAACATACTGGTACATGATGTGATGAGGGAAAAAGGGGAACTTGCGAGTAGCCAGGGGGGGAGGGTGGTCACTTTCGTCATCATTATGGTATGGCCGTGAGCTGTGATTAATGATATTCGAGAAGTGATGACAGTAGTACCCAACTGGCACCCATTCGAGAAATAGCGCTATCCAGGATTTGATAATAATGGGAAAAGGTGAGGAGGTCCTCCTCAATGTGAGGAGGACATTTACATGGGAAACTCATTGAAGAATGTGCCCCTAGCCATGTGTGAAATTCAAAACGAGTTCCCCCTCGGAAACATTATAGGTTTCTGAATGATTCCCTGGTACGCAACAGGACTCGATCTATCTATCATAGTACTTTCAATGGACCAATTAGAAGAGCCGAGACAGTCTTGGGCTATAAGATCAGCAAAGAAAGTGCTGGGAACTCTCCTGAGGAGTAATCTACTGCGGAATAGTGGTGGTTGCTACCAAGCCCTACACAGGTGCTCCACCGAGACCTTGTAAAGAGGTCGAGCAAGAACTACGTCACTTGAAGATGGGTCTTCGAGAAGTCCATAAGATCTACGCTGCCTTTTATCAGCTCAAACTAGACAGTAATACATCAGTTCATCATCTCTACCACTCCACGCGAACTTTAGCCAGGTTGCCGAAATTTAGTGCTGACAGTGAAAGAAGTCCCGACGGACTCTCTCATCAACTTAGTTCGAGATCGTAAGGAATACGTAGCCGGCATGCTACGGAATTTGGTAGGTCTAATATGAGGAGGACCTGTCGCTTTTGTGTGCTCAACTGTCCCCACTTTAATGGAGAGCGCTAGATGTGATGCTGTGTTATCAGGTCGAACTTGGTGGTTGCTTCGACACGGTTAAATGGGACGAGTTCCTGTATATCTTCCTCCGCTTCTGCTCCCTCTCTAAGATCGAGCTATGCCAGCTCATGTTCCTAATCATAGTAAGTAACTTTTCAAGTGTCCTTCATCGGAGGGAGTCTTAGGTAAAAGACGTCAAGTCGTGGACAGTACACTATTTGACAGCGTCTCAGCTTGATGAGTTCTACTCACGGTAAGTCACTGGTGCTAATACTCTCACCGCTCGCCGTCGTTTCGTCCTCCGTAAGTCTGCGTTACTTCAGGTTCCACCATTGCTCAGTGAGATCGTTCGATACTCATGAAATACACTTCCGACGATTGGCCCTGTCTAGATATTATACCAGTGATTTTGTAGAGCTATGTTTTCGATTTGGGAAGATGATGAATCCGCTTCTCCATCTCCAGAGGTCTTTGGCCTTAGTGCTTCACCTGGCTTCAGATTGGGGCAGGTGCATACAGAGGAGCATCCCGTCTTCAGCATTCTGGGAGAACTACGATCGTACGGAGGTTTTCAATAGGAAACTCACGTTGGAGTTTTTCCTCATGCGGAAGACCCACATTTTCCTCCAGGTAGCTTTCGAGTCGCAGATTACCACCACTATAGCCCCATCATATTCAAATACTCATATATCATTATTATTCAGAGCCAGAACCCAACGTTAACCAAAATATCAGAAAGGCTTAACTTATAATCATCACAGATATGCAAATGACTACAGCTTAGCTCATCGATAATACGCCGAGAAGCAACCACAATAGGACAGATATTTACGAGAGACAACAATCGACACCAGCTGAATCTCACAGACCTTCACGATTATGAAGATATATCAGTCAATGTTCAGGGCGTGCCCGCCTTCCGAGAAACCTGTGACATGCTCCTCCCGGCGGTCATGGGAGCCGATCCTTTGCAACGGAACCCACATGCGACTGCTAGCACTGAGCGTGGTGACACCCCTCGACATCCTTAGTAAGAAGCTACTCTCAGGTAACTCGCCCAATGCCACTAGCGTTGAGCCTGTGGCTCCGCGTTCTCCCGAGCTGGCTACTGCTGGTTTGCTGACGAGTACTTACGCGACGCTAGATGTGGGCAGTAGGAGAAGCTCCATATCTCAACCTCCGGTATTTTGATAGTCTGATTTTGACTTTATGTGGGGTCTCCATCGCAGATCGAGTCGGTCAGCAAAGCTAGAACTTCCGTGACTGAGTTCGAGACGAATCTGAATCTTCTACCTAAAGTTCCCAGAAAGGCCGCTGCGGAAAGCGTTAAATCTGGAGTAACAAGTTGGAATGTGTTGCATTCATCGACTGCGGTGACGTCAGGAAAAGATCTCTACTGAGTTTAGGAAGAGTTTCGGTAAGGCCAAAAAGAAATCATCAGTGGAGGAGGATTCTGATGATGATGATATTCCGTTCGATCGGAAAAGCGTGAGGCCTATTTGATACATTGACTGAGTAAATTCGATGCAGATAGCGATGGACCAAATTCCAAAGTGGATGCACACTTTTGTGAACCCTCCAGTCAAGAAGTCTTTCACCGAACGAGCTCTAGAGGCAGAGTTCATCAGAAAGAGTCGCGAGAGGAGAGAGGAGACGAAGAGCGTGGTTAGTTCTCTACGGCTTACTGTAGACTACCTTAATTACGTTACGGATCGTTACGGTTCCCTTTTACGGTTACACTTCAAGCTCCGTATCGTGAAGTTACGGCGCCGTAACGGGTCTCACGTAGACTTTGTTGAAAAATCGCTACGCTGCCCATCCATACGACGTACCAGTGGTCAGATGCCTCACAGGTAAAGCTCCTAGAAGAAGGTCATCAAGCACCCATATTGACTGAGTCTAAATTCAAGTGGTAGCAGCTCCATGATGCCCCATGCAGCTGACTCATCCTTATTAGTATCCTTTGTAGCGTTGACCACGATAGTTGAACGTCTCACCACTGGTGTGTTTATTTTTTTAGACGTCTTGACAAGCCTGAGGGGAAGATACAGGTATGGAGAAACTTAGGAGGTGTGGCCCTCAGGTGTGTGTGGGTGAGGTCTAACGCCAACAACACGGCTTAGTTAGATTTGCGTTTCTATCTTCCACATGTGCCCTACAAATGATATGCTGATCGACATGATGTTAAATTTATCAACTTTCTACATCTAAGGCAAATTATATGCAATTATAAATTGTGCATTATGCATGAAAATTTCACTATGCAGAAAGAGTCCATAATCTGTCTGATACGCATATCAGAGAGGCTGTTATGCACTACTACCGTTTCGGACTATTGACACTGAACACACTATATGGTCAGTTTTTGTTTACCGTGCTACTACTTGCTATGAAATTGTCCCCACCCTTATTGAACTCTTCCGGTTCACTGACGGAGTACCTCCCACCAGAAGTGATCCGGAGGGTCTCAGAGGACGACTCAGTGATGGTGGTCTACAAGCCGGCATTCTACCGATGCCAGCTGCCTGATGATCATCCAGAAGACTCTATCGTTTCCTGGCTCTGTCGTCAGTATGAAATCGATCCTGAGTTGATGAATGAGGAGTTGAACCCCGCGCTGAGTGGTGGAGGCGGCTTTGGTCCCATGTGTCATCGCCTTGATAAGCAGACCAGTGGTAAGTTCGTCATTGCTTGTACAGATTTTAGATACATCTCAGGTCCTGTTCTCATAGCTCGAAAGCTGGAGTCGTGGAAATTCATTCGACGTCAGTTCCAAAAGGAGCAAGTGACGAAGCGGTACGTATGTCTAGTAGATGGTATATGTGCCAATGATAGTGGCATGATCGACAGTCCCATCCGAGTGCGGAGGACCGAGAAACGTGAGTTCCATCGTTGATTCCCTTCATCATATTCCCGCAGATACTTCTGCGGAGATCGGCTCGGGCCCAGCAAGCTCCTCAGCTCATTCTGAATACCGAGTCCTTGAGCGGTACGAAGAAGGTTGCACGTTAATGTCAGTGCGAATAACCACGGGTGTCACTCACCAGATTAGAGTAAGTGTACTCAGCAATCCAATGGTTGCCGTAGTTCGAGTCGTGAACACTTTGGTTAACTACGGAATGATAATGGAATACCAAAAGTGATGGTGTAGAATGACAATGATTTTGTGTTTTTCATCCACGGAGTTATTGCAGCAGAGTATTTCCGGATGTTGTTCTTCCCAGGTGCATATGGCTCAAGGTCTCGGACATCCTATAGTTGGCGATAAGAAGTACACGCCGTCAGGTCGAGGATCAGAGCTGCCCTGTGCGACAAGAATGCCAGGCAGAGTATTCCTCCACTGCTACGAGTTGGGCTTCAAACCCGATAAAACGTCGGGCCAGAAGTTGACTACGATCAAATGCTCGTTGCCTACTGAGCTCAGGAACGTGAGTTTGGGACC